AGTAGGCTGTTAACTGAATACTTGCTTAAACAACTTAAAGTACTGTTTGTTTCATTTGTATCTTTTCTATTGTACTTGTCCTTTGCTTTTTTTATTACTGACAGTTTAATTATTTTCAATAATTTGAGGACTTTCTTTGTTTTTACTAATATTAGTTACCCTAGTATTCTGCTGTGGTATTGAGAATTGTGAAATTTCGCTGGTCTCTAAAATGACCATTTCATAGCAACCTTATTTACAGAAAATCTATATTTGATATATATCGCTATCTTTATATAAATCACTCATATAAAGTTTTGGTCATGTGGCCCACTCGTAATCGTGTTAAATAATTGTGATTACAATATTGACCAAAATAATCGTGATTTGATTTTTGCCATAATCGAGCAGCCCTACGGGAATTTTTAGAGAAGTGTGTTTGATTATTTCCTCTGCTCACTTTATGCACTTTGATTTGTATTTTTAATGTTTCAATTTCCATTTTCCTTACAACACTGCTTGTTGGCAGAATTAGCTTGTTATAGGAACTCTTGAAAACAGCTGAGCTTCTCTTTAATGTCTCTAAAATGTAGCATCTGTTTGTAGCGCCACTACTTTTAGCTACTTAATCCCTATTGAGTTGAAACTGTTTTGTATCTTTTGTTGCAGGATGCGAAACGTCGTTGGGAAGAGCTGCAGAACTATTTGCACAACGTGAGTGCAGAGAGAGAAAAGCTTCAGGCTGCTAAACAAGGTAGAAACACACATGCACACCCTCTTACAGACATCAAGTGTTCTGCACACACCACTTAACCAGTGTCTTCTGTGTCTTCTCAGAGCTGCAGAATCAAATGATGGCTGTGGAGAGCGAGATAACCAGTAAAAACAAGGAGATCCAGACTCTCCACAGCAGCCTGACGGACACTCTCATCTTTAAAGAGCAGGAGCAGCAGAAGGTCAAGCATCTGGAGCAGAAGGTCATGCAGCTGTTGGAGGCTTCTCAGCACACCATGCAGCCTGACGACCAACTACAGGAACAAGTCCAGGTACCTGAGGAATCACTGTACTCCTCGAACTCTAAAGAAGCATGTATGCATGTTATATGGCTGCAGATCATCACACAATGTTGTCGTTTATAGGATCTTCTTAAAGAAAACAAAATGCTGAAAGTTCAGATTGATAATCTTCAGACTCAGCTCAACACTCAGGTATGTGTGTGGGTTGCTGGATGAAGGTGAATCTGTCTCTGCTTGTTGGTGGACAGTCATGTTTAAGAGTCATTTCTTTGTTCCTCCTCTTAGGCTACAACAGTATCACATTTCGATGAGCTTCAAAAACTGTAAGTGATCAGCGCAAAGCTTCCTTGTTTTATAGTTTTGCAAAAAATAAGGCATGTTTCAGACTGCACATGTAAACGCAGCCCTCTACGGACACCTTGGCAATTGAATCGCCATTGGCTAGTAAATTTTTTATTTACTCGCCAGACTGAAATACTATACTTATATATACTATATATATATATATAAATAAATAAATAAATAAATAAAACCATGAACTTAGGGCTGGTGCTTTTTTTGGTCATTCAGTGTTCCTGTAAAAAAAACGAACAATAATACTGATAAGATATTATTATTATTATTATTATTATTATACGAATTTTACTAATAAGAACAATATAAAGCGCACCAAGGATTAACGAGCTTTTCTTGTGTCTGGCAGTCCTGGTGTTCGGTGCTCTGTAGTGCCGGCCAGACAGTAAGAGTTCAAAAAGGAGATGGTTTGGATGTGAGGGATCCAGAGTGATTTTCTGAGCCCATTTCCTCACTCTGGATGTATACAGGTCTTGAAGGGTGGACTGGGCAGCACAAATAATTCTTTCAGCAGTCCGAACCTTCCTCTGCAGCCTTCTGATATCTGATTTGGTAGCTAAGCCAAACCAGACAGTTATTGAAGTGCACAGGACAGACTCGATGACTGCTGAGTAGAACTGTTTCAGCAGCTCCTTTGGCAGGTTGAACTTCCTCAGCTGGCGAAGGAAGTACAACCTCTGCTGGGCCTTTTTAACAATGGATCTGTTGGGCCTTTTTAACAATGGAGTAAATGTGATTGTCCCACTTCAGGTCCTGAGAGATGATGGTGCCCAGGAACCTGAATGACTCTACTGCAGCCACAGTGCTGTTCATGATGGTGAGTGGGTGGAGTGCTGGGTGGTTTCTCCTAAAGTCCACTATCATCTCCACTGTTTTGAGCATATTCAGCTCCAGGTTGTTAAGACTCAACCTAGCTTCTATATGCAGAGTCATCATCATCCTGGATGAGGCCGATGACTGTAGTGTCGTCTGCAAACTCCAGGAGCTTGACAGAGAGGGCAGTAGAGGTGCAGTTGTTGGCGTACTGGGAGAAAAGCAGTGGGGAGAGCACACATCCCTGAGGAGCGCCAGTGCTGATGGTGCAGTTGTTTGACATGAATTTCCCCAGTCTCACTAGCTGTTGCCTATCTGTCAAGAAGGTGGTGGTGATCCATTGACAGATAGAGCTAGGAACAGAGGGCTGGGTTAGTTTGGTCTGGAGGAGTGCTGGGATAATTTTATTGAAAGCCGAACTGAAGTCCACAAACAGGATCCTCACATAAGTCTCTGGTTTGTCCAGATGTTGTAGGATATAATGCAGCCCCATGTTGACTGCATCATCCACGGACCTCTTTGCTTGATAAGCAAACTACAGGGGTTCCAGTAAGGGTCCAATGATGTCCTTCAGATAGGCCAACACCAGTCTTTCAAACGACTTCATGACCACAGATGTTAGGGCCACAGGTCATTAAGTCCTGTGATTTTGGGTTTCTTTGGGATGGGCATGATGGTGGAGCGTTTGAAGCGGGAATGGAGTTTGCACAGCTCCAGAGATCTGTTGAAGATCTGTGAAAAGATGTGGGCCAGCTGGTCAGCACAGGTTTTCAGACAGGCTGGTGAAACACCGTCTGGGCCTGGTCTTTTTCTTCTCTTCTGTTTCCTGAAGACCTGACGCACATCATCTTCACTGATCTGAAGTGCAGGATGAGGGGAGAGGGGGGTTGCTGGAGGTGTTAATGTTTGTGTAGAGAGTTGGTCAGGGCGGGTGTAGGCATGGGACGATAACCGGTTTCAAGGTATACCGCGGTTTGGAAAAGTCACGGTTTCAAAACCACTAAAATTTTCCATTATACCGTTCCTGCGGTATGCGCAGTTTTTTTACGTGTCGTCAAAGACGGAAAGTGCAGGACTCCCTCAGTTGTGTGCAGCGAAGAGCATAACGAGTCACACGACCCCTCCCCCTCGGCCCCTCCGGTTGGTGCGAGCAGTCAGTGAGAGTCACCTGTGTGTAGGATGGCCGAAGGAGATGAATCCCTGGAACTTTTTCTGCCGTCAAAAAAGACGAAGTCTGTCGTATGGGAATTTTTCGGGTAACGTAGACTAACCCATGTTCCGTACACAATGATGTTCCGTACAGATGACGTTTTAGCTCCGATTGCTAAATAAATACTTCCAGGTCGAACATAAACTATATATCTGTGTCATCTTCATTTCTCCCTCTTTCCCCCCCGATCAAGACAGAGACCCACCCGCCGTTTGTTTCAGTGTTGAAATAAATACTATTTGGCTTGCTACCGAGGCAGATAACATGGCTAATTAACTAGCTATCGTCAACTAGTTTCCTCCCTCACGTTACTTCACAGAGTGAGGAATAGCCTCACGTTACTTCACAGAGGGAGGAATAGCAGTCTAAACGTACTGTACTTGTCTGCGATTTAGTACAATAATAAAATTTAGCTCGTATCACGTCTATACTTTTAAGCCTCCTGCCATTGTTTACATCTGTTCAAAATCACG